AACAGGGTTGCACCTTCTCTTTTCATTCAGTCTGTCTTTTCAACATGTGTTGTGCCCTGGAATATTTGCTTCCCAATCTTGTTCACTTTTTAGCTAGGTGTCTACAATGGCAAATCAATCAAAACCATTTATTTCTATTTGCCCTCTAATTCATCTTATTTCAAAGATAGCCAGTTGAAAAAACAGGGGTGAGAAATTGAACATGAGAGTAAACTTGTCAGGAATATAAAAACAGATTGTGCAAACTCTTACAAAGGTACAAAAAGAAAACAGAATAGCTAAACATGATCCCTTGGAGGCAAAGAGACAAGACATTATTCTGGGGAATGAGGAAATGACAGAGAAGGAAGAGTGGGCGAGTTGGAGAACCTATGACAGGCAGTCAGCATCACCTAGAGGAGCAGGTCAAGTAAGAACCCTGTGACAAGGTATAAGAAGAGGATTACAGTGCCATAAAAACAACAATGAGAAAGAGAGATTGAGTCGGGGGAGCAGTAGCTAAAACCAACAGGAATCCTGCCACTACTCAAAAAGGCTAACAAAAATGACAGTGAATGCAAAGCAAACAGCTAATTGGTAAATAGTGGGTAAGTTATTTTTTTCCACTTTAAAGCTGCATTAGGAAAGTTAGGAGTTCTAGCTTTTTCAAAAAAAAGAAACAAATAAATGTCATGGCTTAAATGTAGGGAAATAACTAAAGATATGGAAGGGAAGCTTAGTCCTGGATGTGACACAGCCTGCAGAATGAGAGAAGTCTTAGATGATCGTGGCAATTAGGATGACCGCATGTGTAGGAAGTGACAAAGTTTTCACCAGTCTGAGCACTGGAGTTTGGTGCTAGAGTGTTGACAAGAGGCACAACAGTCCATTCACAAGGCTGAGAGGTTCAAGAATAGTATGTTTTTAGACAAGGTCATCCCATGGCTTAAGGAAGAACAGTCAGAGAAGGAAGGGCTGCTCACCAGTCAGAAGAAGAAAGGCAGGTTGGCAGTCAGGAAAGCCTTAAAGTGCATTTCAGGAACAGATGTTCTATGTTGAAAGAAATTGTGAGTGACAATTCCTCTCAAGAGTGCATTCAGAACTCAGCTGCCAAGGAGGGAGAACTAGAGGGAGAGCAGTAGTGATGAGATGCAATAGCGAGGGGTAAAGAGATATTTTGCAACTGAAGGTGTAAGTTCAGAATGGTGTTTTCTCTCCCTCAGACAGGGTCAAGGATGTCACTGAATGGCTGCCAGGCATTTACAAGGGGGAGGGCAAACGTTCAGAGATCATGGTTCACATAGGTAGCAATGACAGGTAGAAAGAAGGTTAAGGTCCTGCAACAAGAATTTAAGGAACTGGGGAGCAGATTGAAAAGCAGCACCTCAAAGGTTGCAATGTCTGGATTATTCCTGGTGTCTGTTACAGACCAGACCAAATCCCCTCAAAATGTATTAAGAAGCCAGCCTAGACCCTGACTACATCTTATTTTAAAGGCAACTGTAAGGCGCTGCATTCAGATGCAATTGGATTGCTAAAACTAGACTTTAAGCAAAATACACTTTTTTACACTACGATTAAAATACAGACAAAATAAAAATTAAATTAAAGAATTGGCTTAACTGTAATGCTATCAAAATGCTTAACAATGTAATAGATATTAACAACTACTAATTAACTGTTCCAATATAGTGACATGTCATAAACATATAAACACACACAAAGGCAAATTCAGCAAAATAGATTGTCCCACATGCAATTCTAGCAGCAGAAAGAGAACCCTCGCCTTTAGTTGTAACAGAGAGAGGAATATAACCTTCCACATCCAGCTTCAAGACTCCAACAACTGCAGAAAGCTAAAAATAAAAGTTCAGGCTCTGTGGGAGCTTGAACCCACTCATTCAGGCTGCTTCTATTTTTTCAACTTAAAAAAAGAAACCCAAGGCCTCACAAGCTGTTTACTTCATTGGGATTTGAGCAGACTGCTCGACATCTCTCTCAACCTTCCTTCACACAAAATCCAGGATAAAATAAACCTGTTAAAGACATAATATCATCTCATGTCCCATGCTAGAGATTGTAGGAATAGTGAAATAGAACAGATGAATACATTGGTGAAGAGTTGGAGCAGGACAGAAGGCTTTAGATTCCTGAATCAATAGATTTGTTTCTGGAGAAGTGGGACCTGTACAAACCTGACAGTGCACCTGAACTAGAACAGGAGCAGCGTCCTTGAAGAGAGGTTTGCTAGTATAGTTGGTGCAGGTCTAAACTAATTTGGCAAGAGGTAGGATATAGAAAGGGATACAGTAGGGGATGATGCACAGACAAATATAGAGGAAAGACCAAATCAGTATAGAAGGCAGAATGTATAAAGTCATGTGAATGCACAAGGGACAAATAACTACAGCGTAGGTAAGGTAAGAGACACCCAGGCAGTGTTGAGCATGCAGAGCTCACTGCCTGAAAAGTTGGTAGAGATTTGAACCTTCACAACATTTAAGAAATATTTAAATCAGCAGCATAGCTTACAAGACTACAGATCATGGGAAAATGGGGTGGGAGTAGATAAGTGCTTGATAATTGACATTGACAGGATGGGTTGAAGGCACTCTCTTCATGCTCTAAAACTCTGTGACTCTCAACAAATGTTTTGTCTCTGCCTTCACAGTAGAAGTCACAAATTATGCACTAGAAATAAAGGGCCACCCACTGAACAAATAAAAGTGAGGAAAATTAGATTGTTAATATCAGTACCAAAAATACACTGGAGAAACACAAGTGTTTAAAATCCCATAACTGTCTCAAGCTGATGGCCTACATCCTAGGGTTTTAAAAGAGGTCACTGCAGAGATAGTGGTTATACAGTTATGATTTTCAAAAATTCCCCAATTTCTAGAATAGTTCCAACAGTCTGGGAGTTAGTAGATGTAACTCTATTATTAGAGTTCTGAAGAAGGGTCACAGGACGCAAAACCTTAACTCTGCTTTCTCTCTACAGATGCTGCCAGACCTGCTGAGTTTCTCCAGAAATTTCTGCCTTTGCTTCCGATTTCCAGCATTCACACTGCTTTGGGGTTTTTTTTGTCCATTATTCAAGAAAGGAGGAAAAGGAAGAATAGGCATCAAACCAATTAGAACAGCATCACTTTTTGGAAAATGCTTGATCCTTTATCAAGGAACTGTTAACAATTCACATAGAAAATGTCATATGTTTGGACAAAGTCATCATTGTTTACAGAAATCAATTTGTAGTGGAACAATTTAATAAAGTTTTTGAGGCTACAGCTAATAGGACAGTTAATGGGGAACATGTAGCTGGAGTGCACATAGATTCCAAAGGCATTCACTCAGCTGTCACACAAAAAGTTAATAAAGACAAAGGCTGTTGAAAATGGGAAGTTATATATTAGCACAGATAGTGGATTGGTTAATGGATGAGCAGTCGAAAATAAATGTAATTGATGCAGGATGGATGTGCAATTTTCAGCTTTGCAGGCTATAACCAGCTGAGTTCCTCAAGGAACAATGTTAGACCAGCAATCTACATTAATGTTCAATAGAAAAGAACAAAGAATAATATATCTATTTTTGTTGAAGTGCAAAGTTAGATGGGCATATTGTCTGTGCAGAGAACACAAAGATGCTCCAATGCGATACAGACAGGTAAAATGAGTGAACAAGATGGTGGATGGAAAACGATGTAGCAAAGCATGAGGCTAAATACTTTGATCATTAGAATCGAAAAGCAGAATATATTTTAAAAAGCGTGAAATTTTTATAATTGCTGATGTTCAAAGAGATTAAGCTGTATTCATCACAAGGAATATGAAAAGTTACTATGCAACTGCAACAAGCAGTTAGAAGGCAGCATATAACACCTCGGCTTTCATTGCAAAGGGATTGGAGAACAAAACAAAGGAAATTGGACAAGGCCTTGGAAAGACCACACCCAGAGTATCCCTTCACATCAACAGAAGATCTACTCTCATTAGATGCAATATAGTGATGCTTAACAAGATTAGTTCCTGGGATGAGAAAATTGTCCTGGAATGACAGGCCGAGCAAAATGGAAATATATTCTCTGGAATTTAGAACAGTGAGAAATACTATCATTCAAACATAAAAGAATCTGAAGAGGCTTTAAAAAGTAAACAGTTTGTTTCCTTTAGCTGGAGAACCTACAAAGCACAGTCCCAGGATAAGGGACTGATCATTTTGAACTGAGGTGCAAGGAAATCTTTTCATTCAAAGTTATTGTGAATCTTTGAAATTCTTTACCTAAGGGGGCTCAGGATCTTCCATTGTCGAATATATTTAAGGGTGAGATATACAGCTTTTAGGTCTTTTGATGAATCAAGGGATATAGGGAATGAGAAGGAAAGTGGATTTAAGGATGATGACAGTCCATGATTGTATAGAATGTGAGAGCAGGCTTAAAGGACCGTGTGATTTTGTCTTCCTATTTTGTATGTTTTCTGACTTCAGCCACTCACTAAATGGCTTTTCCTTAATTCCCTCAGGTGTCCAGTGGTTGATAAATACTAAATGAATAATTAAATAAATTTGGAAGCTCAACAGGGATAAATTGATGAGGTACACCTGTGTCTTACCGCTGTAGAATACCTTACCGGTGATTCAGGAATGAGTGGAGAAAAAAAGAGCTTGTACTATAAAACAAGGAACTGATATTGGTTGTACTTTAAATCAAAATTATTACCTTCTGTAAAATCTCTTTAATAATGCACCAGAGGCAAAACCAGACTGGCTTTCAATCTGGCTGGTAATTTGTACCATTCACTTAGAAATATAGCACGGTTATTGTCTTACATCCTGTTTCATTATATTCCGCAAAAGCAATGTATAAAATATATTTGAGTGTTAAATATTTCATATTGTATTTAAACCTTCCAACAGTCATAGTCTTCTGTTAGTTGCAAATTGCTTTGGAGCCTATTACATTTGATGGTTTAATTGCTTTTATTGATTGTCTTACTTTGATAAAAATGCTTTGGTTGCAGAAGAGCTGATGCATTCCCATGTTACCCATTGGTGGTCGCCAAATGGAGAACAACTGGCATTTCTGATGATAAATGACACTTTGGTACCAAATATGGCAATCCCACGATTTACTGGTAATCTGTACCCAAAAGGAAAACAATACCCTTATCCTAAGGTAAGAAACAGAAATTTGGATCATGTAAAAACCTATTGAGCAATAAATAAATGTGCAAAGTTGTTGGTATATGTAGGATAAACAATTCAGTCCAATGGGATCTAATTACACTGAAGTATTTGTCTTGAATAAAAAAGTTTTATTATTTGTACTTTGGGAGAAATGCAAAAAAAAAGCTGCTTGTCTTCATATTTTGAATTATTCTATGAATAATGCAGCTGTACTGAAGGAAAAGAAATAGATTGAGTATGCATTGAAAATGTACCTTGACCTTTGAGTCTGTTTACACAGATTTAAGCAGTCGGCATCGAGCAGAGGCACCAAATTTCTGTGGGCTTGACAAGCAGGTGAAATGAGGTCGGTCAGAGAGTCTTCAAATATTCTCTCGGCAAACTACCTCTGAAATAATGTAAATATTCCCATCAGGCCTTTGCAAAAGCATACTTTATAGGGCACAAATGGTGAATTACATGCTGCTATAGGGAATCTGTCTTTTACATTGCTGTCGTCAATTCTGTACTTCACATGATGTAGATGCATGCATGAATAGCGACAACCTGCTCATTTTGATACAGAAGGAAAACTGGACTGTGACAGAAGATCAATTTTCACTTCCTTGTATATTTAGCATACCGAATGAGTCTGCTTAAAGTTGTCTTAACTCACTAAATCTTGTTATAGAAGAAAGCCACCATGAATCATCCAGTCAGAAATTAAACACTTTTTTTAAACAAAAATGTGCCAATGCTGGAAATCTGGAAATACTCAACAGGACAGGTAACATCTGTGGGAAAAATAAAAAAAGAGTTAACATTTCAACGATCCTTCAAAATAGCAAAGTTTCAAGTAGCTACAGAAGCTGGAGAGAGAAAAACACAAGGGAAGGGATATGATCGAGTGGAGGTCAAGAGAGATCAAATGACTAAAGCAGTGATGATGCAAGGCAAAAGATAATAGGGGATAAGTCAAGGAGCAAAAAATGGATCTAATGTAACTGCAAATTAGAAAAGCAGAATATTTTTGTTCAAGAAAAGAATGCAGGCAAAGGCTATAATTTGAAATTTTTGAACTCAACATTGAATCTGAACTGCAGAAAATTGCCTGATTGAAAGATGATGCGTGTTGCTTGAGTTTACAGCGTGCTTTATTGTAAGAGTGTAGGCTACTAAGGATAGGGAAGGTCAGAATTAGAGCAGAGTGGAGAAATAATAATAGATAACCAGAAGGTTCAGGGTACATGTGTAGACTGAATAGAAGTGTTCCACAAAGTGGACACAAGATCTGTGTTTGGTCTCCAAGAAGAAGCAAATAATGTACATAAATTGAATGTAGCACATAAATTACTGTTTCATGTGAATGTACTGTTTCATATGAATGGACTGTTTGGAGCCTCGGATAATAGGAAGGAAGGAAGTAAAAGAACAAGACCTGACATGGGAAGGTCCAATGAGAGGAGGAGTAGGCATTGGGCAGGGTAATGCAGAGGAAACAGTCCCTTTGAAATGCTGAAAGGAAAATGGAAGTGAAAATGTCTTTCAAAATTATATAATGCTGTAGATGAAGAAAATGGCAGAGGATAACCCATTGATTATGAAGTCTAACGATATGGAAGGTGAAGAGAAAGAGAAGCCTATTGGGATTCTGTGAGGTAAGGGAAGGGGTGGAATGGAAGAACAAGTTTAAAATGGACATGGTTGAGAATCTTGTGAACCACGGTGCATGGAAATCCTTAACTGAGGAAACAGGAAGACGCGCATTGTCAGAACTATTGTGATACACATACCAACAGATTGAAATTGAACCATTAAAAAGTGGTGTGAGAGGAATTGTAGCCAAGACACCTTTGAGAGTTTAAGGTGATTATTTGCTGATAGCCCATCCCCATATGTGGAGACAGAGAAGGGGAGAAACGAAGGGCAAGAGTCAGAGCTGAACCATCTAATAGCAATGGAAGGGAGGATAATTGAAACAAAAGTTAATGAACTATTTCAGTTCAGCACAAGACCTGGGAATGGCACAAAGACCATCAACAGTGCACTAAAAAATGAGGTAAGGGAGGCATATGACTAGAACTGGAATAAAGAATCATTTGAATAGTCCACAAGGAGGCAGTCATGGCTAGGATCCATATGGTTTCCAAAAAGAACTTTTCATCGATAGTTTTTCCAGTATGTTTAAATTCTAATGCATAATGAATATAAAATCGAATGGCTCCAAAACTTTTGTAGAAGATCTACATAAGGATGGGTTTTAGACAAATATGTTGAGGAACCAGAGGGAGAGTAGGTTATCCTAGACTGGATATTGTGAAATGAGAAATAATTCATGAGCAATCTTGTTGTACTGGATCCTTTGGAGAAGGGTGACTACAAAATGTTGGAATTGTTCATTAAGATAGAGTAAAGATGTTGAATCCAAAACTTGGTCCTGAGTCCACATAAAAGGAATTACGAAACTATGAGGCACAAGTTGGCAATGATAGATTGGGGAACTTAAATAAAAAAATTGACAGTAGATAGGCAATGGGTAATATTTAAAGAAAATATGCATGAATTACAATAAGTATTAATTCCTGTCTGGTGTAAAAATAAAACATGCAAGTTGGATCAATAATAGCTTACAAAATCAATCATGGATAGTATTAGATCCAAAGAGCAGACATATACAAGTACGATAAAAAAACAAGCATGTGGATTGGGAACAGCTTAGAATTCAGCAAAAAAGGACAAAAAGATTGATCAAGAGAGGTAAAAATTGCAAAAAAACATAGAAAACTGGCTGTAAAAGCTTATATATAGGTGAAGAGAATTAAAAAATGAAGACAAATGTAAGTCCCTTATAGCTCAAAATTGGAACATAAAAGAGGCAGGAGAACTACACATATATTTTGGTTCTGTATTCACAAAACAGGACACAAATAAATTCCCAGAAATGTTAGGAGTCTGAGAGTCTAGTAAGAAAAAGGAATGGAAGTTTAACAGTATTTGGTAAAAATATGGTAGTAGCGAAATTAATGGAGTTAAAAGTTGACAAATCAGGGTTTGATAATCTACATCCTGGAGTACCAACAGGAAGTGGCCCTTGAAATATCAGATGCATTGGTGGTCATCTTCCAAAATTCTACAGGCTCTGGAACAGTTTAAACATATTGGAGTGTGGTACATGTAACTCCACTATTTAAAAAAGTAAGTGGAAAAGAAACAGAGAATTAATGGATTGAGAACTGGTTGACAGATGGAAAACAGAGAAAAGGAATAAATGGGTAATTTTCCAGATGGCAATTATTGACTAGTGGTGTACTGCAGGGGTCAGTGCTTGGGTCACATATACAAGTGATCTTAATGAGGGAACTGAATGCAATTCTTCAGAGTTTGCTGATGCCACAAAGCTAGGTGGGATTGCGAGTTATGAAAAGGGTGCAAGGAGAGTTCAGGGTAACCTCGATACGTGTGTGGGCAAACACATGACAGATGCAGTATAACTTGGATAAATGTGAAGTTGTACACTGCAGTGTGAAAAATAGAAAGACAGGGTATTATTTAAATGGTGGTATATCGGGAAATGTGAATGTACAAAGGGTGTCCTTGTATATCAGTCAATAAAATTCGACAGGCAGGTGCAGCAAGCAATTATGAAGGTGAATGGTGTATTGGCCTTCATTACAAGAGAATTTAAGTTAAGAGGTAAGGATGTCTTACTGCAGTTATGCACCAAAGAGAAAATATACTTGTCATAGAGGGAATGTAGCAAAGGCTCGCTAAGCTGCTTTTGGCTTGGCAGGATTGTTGCATAAAGAGATTGGTTTAACTGGGCCTGTATTCACTCAGGTTACATCTGACAGCTGATGTGCAATATACCTTTAAGGGACATGCACCTGATGTCATCACTATATTATGGCACGTGACCAAATGTTATGTAGCCCTTTTCTCTTGCAGCGTAACATGCTGAGGGAATGGTACGACAGTTTATATCTGAATTGCTCAGCTCGAGTCTGGACACACAAGTACATGTGATTGTAATGTATCTGTGTAGGTACCAGGTACTTTACTAAAAGTTAATTGTATTCTTACAGCATTCATCCTTACATTATGGGAGCCACCATAAGTACTGCAGTAAGTAGCAGATGATCAGTACACAACACCACATCACACCACTGTGGAATAGCAACTCATATTGACAATGGAGTAGTAAGAGCTAGTAAATGCATGTAAAAAAGTCTTGATTGATCATCAGACAGCCCTGGATCTTAAAGTATTTAGGCGACCAATCACAATAAGTTTACATGAACACAGATCTCCAACTTAAATAGCTTGCAGGCAGAATTACTTTTTCTCCACTTTAAATTCAATGCTTCAAATTCATTTAATTAAAGTCCGCTTGCCTTTTCTTAAATCAATGCTTATAAACTTCAGCATATTGATAGTGCCTATCTTCATAACTGTATGACTTACAAAGCCAGAAGCCCTCTGTCACCATTACTAAAATAAGAAGAACTGAAGTTTCAGCCTGCTTCCTCATGTAAAACTAAAATCTACAACTACAAAGCTTTTTACAGGCTTAAATTTAACATTGAAAATTAAACAATACTATAAATTTATTTACCGAACCCTCCTGTTCAAAAAGCAACACTTTAAGCATGAGAGTGTAGTTTTACAAACTAGAGCAGCTTACCAGTCTGCAGTGGTCGGTTGTTTCCACTGCTTTGTTTCTTGCCATTTGGCTCCAAAACTGGCGTAACATCATCACTCCTTACCTAATGTAACTTCCTTTAGTGGTTAAAATCTGCTACACAACGCGTTCATCTTTTAATGATATAGACCCATATTCAAACTTTCTTAACCAAACCAACAACTCGGAATTAAAAGTGAAATAGAACCAAATGAATGAAAAGTAGAAGGACAGAACAACAAACCAAGTAAAAGAAAGAAGAAAGAATAAGCCATGCAGTCTTCTTCAATAAAACAGAAGTCACAGATCTTCAACAAGAAATGGAAGGTAAG